CGTGGTAATTATGCATTATACTAGACAATTCAAGGTTCATAATTAGTAAAATATAACATTTAAATTATTTGTCAAATTTTAAAAATAATATTTTACTTTTGATGATCTTAAGATGAAGTGTTAACATTTAATTAAATATTAGAAAAATTTTCAGCCGCGGATTTGTCCAAATTGTTATTGCTCATGATAAGAAAAAAAAACTAGATGATAAAAAAATCGTGTAAATTAGCTTATTAATAATTTTAACACCCAATAAGCTGAGTAATTTTGCATTCTTTTGTAATATTGTTACTACTTTAAGTGATTGTTCTAAATTTGATAAAAATGTAATGAAACTTGGGACTGATAATTAAGAATGGAAATTGTACAATCATAATTTTGATTTTTAGCCTCTGCTAAAATTTTTTTATGATATTATTATTGTTTAATTCACTAAGATTAAAATTCTTACTATTTATTAATTCCTTATTTAAAAGTTCAATATGGATGGTGTTTTCGACACTAGGGAGCGCTGCAAGCTGTATGCCACTTATACTTCCGGGTTACTGTTTTCGGTGTATTTTAAAGCCATTTGGCTCACAACCTGATCATTGTGTTAAGATTCTTGCAAACGTGGTATTTGAATACTTATTACTAAACTTAATCTTGCTCCTCGAACAATATGCTAACACTAATGTGTTAAGATGGTACACAGCTTGCAACACGAACAAACAGTTATAAACAAATGGAAAGGGGTCAAATCAAGCCTGCCAAAAAGGCGAGTTATTCAAAATCTAGCAGCCATGTCATCTTTGTTAACAATATGTCTCAAAATAACTAAAACAAATTTTCACTTCAAACTCACCAGAATTACAAAATAACCAGGGTCTAAAAGTTTAAATTTAAAGTTTTAATGTAAAAATCATCCATGCTTATTTTTAATTTACTCTTTTTAATGAGTAATGTTTTTGGTGAGAAAAAAACTGCTTGTTGTTAAAAAANTTTTTAAGACAGCTTCACAGCGTCTTTTCATCGAGTGAACGAGTGTTTGGAGTTCATCTTTCGTAATCACATGGTGCCAAGAATCAATTATAGCTTCAATAAGTTGTCTTTTATAGGATGGACGTTTTTTTCGTACAAGAATTTTCAAGCTTCGCCACAAATTTTCAATTGGATTTAGATCAGGGCTGTTTCCTGGACATGGTAATATATCTATGCCTTTATTTTGAAACCATGCTTTGTGTACTTTTGCTGTGTGGCATGGAACTGAATCCTGCTGAAAAATAAATGGTGCATTGTTGGAGAAGAGATCCCTGATTGAAGGTATCAATTTTGGTTTCAGGGCAGTTTCGATGTATTTTTTGGCATTCAGGATGCCATCAATCACTTGAATTCGGCCCACACCATCTGCAGATATACATGCCCAAATCATGACATTTGTAGGATTTTTTGTAGTTGCTTCAGTGCAGACAGGATGAAGCGCTTCACCTACTCTACGTCTCACGTATTTTCTACCATCACTTCCAAAGATCGATATTTTACTCTCATCACTCCGGATTACTTGCTTCCATTGATTTTCTGACCATTTAATGTGTTCTTTTGCCGACTTAACTCGTTTTTCGCGTTGCTTTTGATTTAAATATGGTTTTCCCTCGGAATTCTAGCTTGTAGTCCAAATCCCGATAACCTTCTACTGATTGTTCTTGAACTTACTGCAATACCAGCTGTTTTCATTTCACATCTAATGGCATCTGATGACATTTTTCTATCTTGAAAGCATAGCCTTTTAATTTTTCTATCGGTAGTAGCACTTGTGCATTTTTTTCGGCCTGATTTGGCATCCTGAATGCCAAAAAATACATCGAAACTGTCCTGAAACCAAAATTGATACCTTCCATCAGGGATCTCTTCCCCAACAACTCATCATTTATTTTTCAGCAGGATTCAGCTCCATGCCACACAGCAAAAGTATGCAAAGCATGGTTTCAAAATAAAGGCATAGATATATTACCATGTCCTGGAAACAGCCCTGATCTCAATCCAATTAAACTTTTGTGTCGACGTTTGAAAATTCTTGTACGAAAAAAACGTCCATCCAATAAATGACAACTAAGTGAAGCTATAATTGATTCTTGGCACCATGTGATTACGAAAGATGAACTCCAAACACTCGTTCACTCGATGAAAAGACGCTGTGAAGCTGTCTTAAAAACTAAGGGTTATCCTACTAAGTATTGATTGTGTAAATATCACTTTAAAAAATGCAAATCTAAGATAGATCTTACTATTAATTGCATAACTTTTTTTGTAATACAGATATTGTAATACTGTATTTATTATTAAATTTTGCATTAAATTACCTTCAATTTGATGCATAAACGTTTGTATTTTAGTGAAAATTAATATATTCTACAAGCACACAAAGTTGAAAAACATGAAACTTTCAAAAAGTGTCCACACTTTTGGCCACCACTGTATATATATACAGTCAGTCAGAAAAGTCTACATACACCCGCTAATATTCGCAGATCTAGCACTTTACTCATATTTTTGAATATACAACTTTATTTTCGTTAGCATCTTGGATAATAACTCATATCTAACAAAAAAAAATTATGAACAAATTCGTTAAAATATGACAAAAATTAACAACATGTTAAATTATATAGTCAAAAAAGTCTACATACAGAGACAGAACAATACATACTTTCAGAATTAAATGCCAAAAAATGTAACATTAATACTTTGTAGGACCTCCCTTTGAAGTAACAACTGCCTGAATTCGGTTTGGCATCGACATAACCAGAATTTTTGTCGTCTCAGGTGTAATTTGAGACCATGCAAGCTCTATTGCCTTCTTTAGGGCTACCTTGCTTGTTACCGATTGCTCCCGAACTCTCCTATCAACTTCCTCCCAAAGGTGATCGATGGGATTAAGGTCTGGGGACTGTGGCGGTGAATGGAGCTGTTTAGGCGTTTTATAGAGTAGCCATTCCTTAACAATCTTAGCTGTATGTTTTGGGTCGTTGTCTTGCTGGAAGGCAAAGTTGTTCCCAAGTCCCAATTTTCGAACCGATGGAAGTAGATTGTCTTGCAAAATTTTCAGGTATTCAAATCGATTCATTATGCCATCGATAAACACTAAATTGCCAACTCCAGCGGCCGCCATTGCTCCCCAAACCATAACACTGCCTCCACNACGAAGAAGATTGAGATAATAAGTGTTGATTAAGATAATCAATAATTTACTGTGGTGCATAAGCTGTTCATAAAATATGCTCAAAATGTAGATAAAACGTGTGGAAAATAAATAGAAAGTGAAAAAAGTGAAAACGAAAATTACGTAAGAAAGAGTAATGTTGCATCAATATAGCCGAAGCAAAAGATATAAATACAATGGAATAATACAATCGATACAATATTACGTCAATTTGCGCTTCATCTTTCATACTTTGTAATCCGGCAGAAAATATTTTATTTCATTTTTGAAATATTTCCCGTTCCCGTAAGTTTATTTGAATTCGCTACTCGCCTTATAGATTTCGTTTTATGCTTCGTCTTGCTTTTTTTTTGTTTTTTTTTTTTTTCTTTTTTAGTCTCTTTTTCGTTTTCCTTTTTAAATTTTTTTTCTTTTTCCTTTTTAAACTTTTTTCTTTTCATCCGTGATTTATTTCTTTTTAACTGTGATTTTTTTACGTGATTTATTACTTAATATTTATTGCTTAACGTGTTCTATTCTATTCCGTTTCAAAAAACCTTTTAGTGCTCCTCACACAAATGTTTTGTTAGATTGTGCTTCCGCTATAATGATGCAATATTAGAAAGCACTCACCTTTTTGGTGATATAACCGTGTGACCTGATGAAGAGATTATATAATCAGTGTGGCATATTGACCTTTCCTGTTTTAGCACGTCTAAATGAAATATGCACGTTTTTGCACGTTTCAGAAATATGGCTGTTTTATTCGAAGGGGAAAAATCAGCGATGTATTGAGTTCCGTTGAAGCTTTTCATAACATGATTTTTACGGAATTTCTGCAGCCACTAGTGCACACTTGTCAAGGACTCAGCAAACGCGTGATTTTTGAGTGTTCGATTCACCTGAGATAACAAGAAATGAACACTGTGCTCTTGACACCATTGTTAATGCTGGATAAGGCACTTTTTACAGTTTTCACTTCCAGCAATAAGGAAATATCAGGCAATAAGTTTTTCCTATTAAAAATTTATTGGAAAAATGGTTAAATGAAATTTTATATAATTGTTATTTTACCATATTCAAAAGAAAAGTAGTCAAATAACCATAAATTAGATGGTATTTAAACTCTTAACTAAGAGAAAAACCGCTTTTAAATGCTTTCACATAATACGGATAAAAAACTGGAATTATATCTAATGAAGCCACAATTTTCCTTGAAGCTGGCTATATATTATGACAGAGAGGGCAAATCTGTCAATATCATGACCGGCAGAAAGAGAGTTCCAGCGCTGTCACCACAATATTTCCTCCATTTCCTTTAACACATGAAGAGTTCCCAACACTCCCCATTTTGGAATATTTCAATACGATACTCTCATTCACGCATAGAAGTTAGTACCAAACGGTAACACGTCTAGTGTTCCTTATCTCTTGCTATAGGTGAAACAACCAGATAAACTAATTAAACCACATTCCACGGTTCGTTTGATAAAACACAACTCAACCACAACCTAACTAAACTGCCCTTTACCTATCGAAAAGCCTGATTCCAGTTAAATTTCTTTGAACAGTATTGAAACCATGCTAGTTGTAAATGGTTAAAAAAACGTTACTAATGGCAAGTGGTTTCAAACCCGAAGAGCTAAAAATTTTATTTTCCATAAATTTTACGATTAATTAGATGGACATACTGGTTACGGTTATTTTACCGTAATTTTAGAACGAAAATTCTAAGAGTATTGTATTTGACCCTTCTTTTTTAAGTATCAAGTTTTCAATATCTCATTTAGTTTCGAATGATTATCTGTTTTTAGCTGCAACTGAAAAAGTGGCCACATCAGAAAGAAAAGACATTAAGAAGGACAAGGAACCACCACGTGATTCACCACGTCTTAGAGGGCGAGGTAAATTCATACAATATCTCCGTTGTTCCGTAGTTGAAATTAACTATGTGACTTTTGATACCATTTATGAAGTTTATATTTCACATGTGGATATACAATAACCAAATTATTAGTTTCAAAGCATTAAATGTAAATCTCCGGAGGGTAAAATAAAATTATGAGAACAATCTAGTTTTGACATGCAAAAATGTGACTATTGCATCCTCATAATAAGTTATCATAATTTTATTTTATTAGTTGAATGCCCGTTCTACGTTCGCGGTGAAATGAAACGCATCAATTAATCTGAAATGAACAACACTACAAAATCGTCCACAAAATTCTCAGGCAAATACCGACACAAATAATAACGCTAAATTATTTCAATAGTTTTTTTATTTATTATTAATTGTTAACTTTTTCAGTTGCTTTACATTATTAGATCAAGAAAAGCAAATTTTTAGTAGTTCATTCTATCAAAATAAAGGCTAACTGTATTCAGCATCATCTGGCATAATACTGTTGCTCAAGGCGACTCATGATATTCAAAATTAGCCACGGTCAAGTTACTGCTTAAAATATCTATCTATATAATAAATCAATCATAAAAATGTACAATACTTTTGCAGCTGTAATCGGCACCAAGTTTACTCTATGCTATATAAGAGTAAATTTGGTATCTATTAAAACTTCACCTATTACCATTATGCCAATAAGTGCCTGTTACCATCATAAAGCAACATTGGTGTCAATAATAGTATGTCGTCGGTACCCCGGCTTTTTATGGTACCCCGTAACGAATAAGTACATTTTCTCTATAATTTTTCTTTTTAGCTCATAATATATCTTTATGTCATTCATTATTTATCATTAAAATGAATTAAGCGTCATTAACATCAATAATAGTTTGCTGATTTTTTACGCTCTCATAAACGAACTGAGTATCATTTCTCCATCAATTTTGCATAGCTAATACATAATACAATAGCTAATTATTGTACTTTAATTACTAATTGGCCAAGATCACGATAATCATTCAGATAACCTGGCATAGCAAATAAAATATAAGGAAGTATAACAGCTTTCTTTTATTAGACCTATGAGTCAAGAGTTATCCTTAAAATATTTGAAAAAACTGAATCTACCATAGCTTATTTTAAAACACTGGCTTCCTTTAAATCAATGAGAAAATTTCGTTTTTTAAATGTCTCTGAATTTAAAATATAATTAAAAAAAAATCAAAAATCGGGCTTCGTAATTCGTTTATAATTTTACTTATTTAGATTCTTTATTAATCTCGTTTTTAGAGCTTACAGTATGTCTGCAATTTAGTAAACGGACTCACAGACAGCCAGACAAACACAACTTCTAAATTTAATTTTAAGTACGGATTACTTCTCCCTTTTCTCGGTAGCTTTAACAAATTAGATTAAATAAAACGCGTTTTTAGAAGCTCATCCCACCATAATAACAACAAACTGCATTCAGTGAATGATGTTGTTCAAGATAACTTATGACATTTAAAATTTATCACAATCAAGATACTTTCTCCAATAATTATCTATATTTATAATAAATCTATAACACAAATGCACAGTATTGGTGAAGCTGCTATCGGCACCAAATTTACTCTAAAATACGGTGTCCCTATGTAAGAGTTAGGAACCTATTAAAACTGCATCATTTACCATTAAGTAATGCTTATTACTTCTGTAGTACCCATTAATGGCTTCAACAATAGTATGGCGACTTTCTGTAGTACCCCATAACGAAATAGTTCCATTTCTTCATTAATTTAGCTTTTAGGTACAAATTGTATTTCAATTACAGTCGATTTTGAATTATTGAGTTTTATAAAAACATGTTATAAGAGCATAACGAAAAAAATAAACTCGTGGTTTCAGATAACCTTAAATAGAGCCCCTGAATAAGATTAACCTGATTAGTATTAGCCTTAAAAATACTAATCTAATGACGTTGTCTGCTTATGCTGTCACAGATAACCTGGCATAATGAATAAAATATAATTAAGTATTGCAGAACTCACTATAAAAAAATTTTTTTCATTAGAGCTATAAGCAAACAAAAACCGCTGGTGATATCTATAAAATATTTGACAAAACTGAATCGTCTATGGCTTATTTTAAGACAGTGGCTTCCGCTTAATCAATGAGAAAATTTCATTTCCAAAATGCCTTCGATTTTAAAAATCTGATTAAAAATTGAAAATCGGGAAATTCAAAATTAAAACTATTCTGTGTAAATGAACGATATCTGATGAGTATAGTTCTCAATAAATTAATTTTCGAAAATCATAATTCCTTTATTTTTCAAAGATAACTCCTTTTTTAAAGTGCGTGAAGTAAAATAATTATTTAAAATCATTAAAATGCATTCTTCTGTTTCTCAATATATACATAATATGTAAAGTTTAAGAAATGGTTCGAAAACCTAATATAAAATATGAAAAGCCGATATATTTTTTATTTTTCTTACCAAACTATAATAAACGCGTATTTTCTTACCTAACTATAAATATTCACATCAGTAATTCAGCATAATAGTTTATGCATTTCATTTTCTTGGAGCTGTTGCTCGGAGGACCAAAGACGAGGAGTCTCCTTCAAATAATGGTGAAGGGGTCATGAGTGGGTCAGGTAGATATTTTAGATTGGATACCTGCAAGTGAAGTCACACACACACACACACACACACACACACACACACACACGTACATATATATCGTGAATAGATTGCGGCTTTCGTATATGCCTTGATTCAAAAATAAAATTCGATGTACACGTGGGACACCTCTTACAGGTATTCTATTAAATCGTATTTGCTAATTGATTCAGTGTGATCATAAATCAATGCTAATTGCTGTAACGTTCCCCAACCAAGCACAACCACGTGTTTATTCCCAACTCTGTGATTTAAATCACATGGTTATATCTATTCACACATTTTTTCTCTCGAGTTGTAAGTACCCAATTGTACTGATTTTACTCGAATTTTGAAACCTTTGCTTTATTTGTTGATCCTCTATTTGACCCGTAACATTTTCAGACAGTTTATAGAAATAACTGTGAGCATATAAAGCTTGCATTTTGGTGATTTTATAAGCTATAATGTTTTATTATTCTGTAAAAAAATTCTCTTCTACTTAAATTTACTCAGTGTTATTTCATAATTTACTTTAATATACCATCCAGATCCCTATGACACGAATCTTCATGTTTTCTAATTTTATTTTTATTGAAATTCATTATTTTAACAATATATTTATTCAATACCGAATTAATATGATCTGATATATCTTGCATTTTTATAAAGCAAAAACGCATCACATGAATATGATATAAATTCCAGGTTTCGAGATGATCTGAACCTGTAATATGACTTGAACCTTTTTTTTTTCTAATTCGAACCAAAAGCGAAATGTTCGTACAAAAAGAAATAGTGTTATACCTTTGTTTTAATTATTATTAGTTGTTCACGCAGTTTATTTACTAATATAAAGAATGTGCGTAGAAGAAAAATCTGTAAAATGCTCAGGACAGCCCAGTTTTACGAAACTAAACTTTAATGACATTACTCATTGACCTAACCAAAATTTTGCTTTTAACCCTGAAATGCTACTTCTGTTTTTACTTAATTTAATAGTATGCATTTTTTTCCTACTATTCATTATATTCTATGTATTTGACCTAAACACTTAAAACTGTTGCGTCTCAAAAAATGAGGATAATACTGTAGTGTGAATTATATTTTGGATATACTGTGAATTATTTATTCCAAATGATATTTCTAAGAATCAGGGAAAAGTATAAAAAACAGAAGTTTCCCTTGATGTACTACATATAGCCCAGTTACCCGCTATTTTTAAAAGAATTTCACCATTTGTACAACACTAGATTGAAATGATCCAATGAGCAAGTAAAGCAAATAACTGTGAAGGCAAATGAAGTAAATGAGAAAAGTGATTCCGACGGTTAACACGTTTGAAAAAAAGGCGGGTAAAAAAAGCACGTTTGATTTAATTAACTTCGGAAGACGCCCCCTTTAATAAATATAAAACCTGATTGAAAGCCTGTTAGACATTGATAGTGATATTATTTTCAACTCATCAATCTAACTAGCAGTTACTCAATACTTCTCGTAAACCATACCTCTCCGAAAACCCCATTGGAAAAAAAGCCCAAGAGATGACAAATATGGCGATAGGGGGGCCAGTAATCCATGGAAAAAAGCGTTGCTCAAAAAATTACTTTTCAAATATGAATGTTTACTATTTCAAGAAAAAACATAGTGTCAGATCTTTTAACAAAGCACTTAAAGCTTATGAGCACTAGATTAGCGATTACGACTGAAACACAGTTGAAATTGTCTGAACTGCCAGGAAGAAAGTAGAAACTTATAACGTTTTCGCCGAAATACAGAACGTTGAACCTGCAAATACTCAAATTTAAACTAAACTTATCCAATGTTCGCAAAACTTCACTGAAAAAAAATGGATAATTGATTATTACGAATTTTTCTTCGTTTTTGACGAAACCGTTCCCTGGTATATGCTCCGCACAAAAATTTCATTAAAGTGACGAAATAACTATCATCTTTTCTTCAAGGAAACGATTTTCGAATCAAAAAAATATTTCGTCATCTATTTTTTTTCCAAAAAAACACTTGTAGTGGAATCTAACATTTTCAATAATCACTTAAACGCGGGGAATACTAAGACGGTACGACACAACAAGAAAAGATTGATGAATTACACCCATGCCCGAAGGGGGATTCGAACTCCTGATCTTCCAGGTACAAGGTCAACTTCCTGACCACCATATAAATCGGTCAGCATAATGCGTCAATTTATGTTTGAGTGTCTAGTCTTTATTCGTCATTCTATTTAACAATCTCCAACAATACACTACGAAGAGGTTTCAAATTAAGGAAACATTTTCATCATACATTTGAGAGTTCGCGTTTTGCCACAAATCACGTGATTTCGTAAAGAAATGATTTTCAAAATTAACGAAATACTGCTCAAGCATTGCTGAATCATCAAAAGTGAGACTTTTATTCCTGAGTGTGTTAGATGAAACAAATATTCATGTTAGTAATATTATAGAAATACTGAAGCAAGAAAAAAAGGTTTAAATCCGATTGAATCATTGAAGACATGAATGGGATTAAAATTAGTAAAACTAGTTACTTGTTGCTTAGCAGTATAAAATTTTTTTTTCTTAAAAACCTTTGAATCCTCTATTCCTCCAAAATAAAAAAAATAATAAAAAATTAAAAAATAAGTGAAACCAATTTTGACACTTTTACACAGATGAATTAATCTCCAACTTACTGTCATATATATGTTAATAATTCATTTCATAATCTATGTTTTGTTTCTGATACACTAATCTTTAATTTCTAGGATCCTGCTGCTGTGTGTGCTTCTAGACTCTTAAAGGTATACCAACAACTTCAATAATTTTCTTTTTTTAAAAAACACGCCTAATGACGAAATTTATATTTTTTATGCCATCTAGCATAAAATGTTTAGTTTAAGACTTGTTTTGATTAAATATTTTTAATTTTTTTTTTTAAATTCTGGAAGAAAGCATGTTAAAAATACCAGTTGGAAATTTTTTTTTCAAATTTTTTTCTACAAAATCGAAGAATTAACTAACATATAACTACACATCTTGAAATATTTTCCCCTTCAAAATTGCCCCAGTTTGCATTTGCAGTACACTTAAAAAATTAAATTATTTACCGTAAAACGAAACTTTAACATAACTATAGTTTAAGTTTTTCAAAAATATTTTAACCAAGATAAAATGCATTTTCTCAAAACATTTATACAACTATGTTAAATGTATAAACATTTATCAAAAGATAAACTGGGACATGGCAAGATAAACTTTGTGCCAAGTATTTTACTGTTGCTATAAGCTTTAGTGTAATTTTCGAAATTATAAGGTGCATTTTTTGTGGGAATTATACCAAATTTTTCTAAATCATTATTCTTAAATTGTAACTGATTATCTTCTCTGAGTCATTTGATTTTCTTATGCATTAAATTTTCATACATTTCCTTATAATAGTAAACATGCCAAACACTTTGCATTTATATTTACAAAATAGGAGAAGTACATTCTAGAATAGTCATCAACAAATACTAAAAACGTATTTGGAATTACCCAAGGAATCAGCATTTATTGGTGCTATTAAATCAGCATGAACCAATAGAATTGGTTCATGCTGAAGTAGAATTATTTTAATTTTAGGATAAATTTTATGAGTACGGAATGTTAGTAAATCAAGTAATTTAATATGTACTATGTCTTTACATAAAATCAAAATATTCTTTTTATCTAATTCTAATTTATAGCCTTTATCACTTTGCTCAGAGACAAAAAGTGAATTACCACTTAAATCTATTTAGAACAAATATTACATCACTAATAGTAAGAATATTTCCGCAGTAGTTGACAATAGTTTTGTCTTTTTCTTCATTTTCAATTCCTATACCTTCAAGCTTAAAAATTGAGTACTTACCTGTTAAGTGATCAATTCATGAATTTGAAATTTTCAAAATAAGTTTTATCTTTGGACACGTGTAAAGAAGCTCCGGAAGCCTGGTTTCCCATATTATTATCTGCTGTACTAAGATACACCTAAGATGTTTGCTTCACTGCAAGCGTTAAGTTTTTAGAGTCAATATTTTCAGTTCTACGACACGATCACAACTGGAGTTTAAGTTTGTTACGGTTTGCAGATTATGGATAGCCAATTTAATATTGCGAACTTATTTCGATTTTCGAAGTTCTTATACAGAAATGTTCTCTTTTCGTCTAAATATGTTGAAATGCTGGTTTTATTTCTAAAGTTCGAGCGATATGAATTGGATTCTTGATTCCTAACGCACCTTAAACATGTTATTTTCCGGTTTGGATTTGATTTGTTCTAGTAAACTGACTGAGTATTTTTAGCTCTTCTAGAAGAATTCTCAAATTTCACCAACTTTCTTTTCTTTCTGCGGTCTTATAATTTCTCTAATTTTTGCCAATTTTTACTTTTTTTGCATAATGAACTACTTCTTGTTCAGAAATTTCTAACTCTCTACGGTTAAACTTAGTAAAATGTTTGTGAGCTCTTGTCAAGTAATCACTTACGCTTTCAAACTTCATTTCAATACATTTTATTTTATTGTTTGTGTTGATTTTCCAATCCAATATTTTCCCAGTGAATGCTTGTTTAGTGCTCACTCACAGGCTTTTGTCATCATTTTCATTTGAAAATTATAAAATCTGATCTTCCGATACCGAAAATTCCATATAGGAAACTGTGTCAGCATTGTTTAATATCCACTGTTCCTTCTCTCCTTGTCTCTTTTGGTTCGCCCAATACGTAGTTTATTCGTTTTATCATTAAAACTGTGCGACATTTAATAGACCAGGCGAAGCAGTTTTCACTTTAACAAGGACAACCAGTTAAACATCAAATGATACTATAAGAAGCATTTACGGAAGTTGGGGCCACCTATTGTATAACTGTGGAAAATTTGCTTTTTAAGACCTTTTTTTATTTTATTACTTTTTAAAATTTAAATGTTGAACGGGGATTGATGAAAATTTCACTGAAAAATTTATAGTAATTATTAATAAGAGATTTATAAGAAAATAGACAAATAAACATAAACGTAATTTTTTTTTAAAAAAAAAACAAGAATAAGAAAAATCTTAGAAAAAGAAATCATAGATAAATAAATAGAAATGTAATAAGGAAATGCATTTTTTAAGAAATTAATAAAATCATTTTTCAATGACAGAGATTATTTAAATTGATTATTACAAAATTATTTTATTTCAGGTAAAGGACCTGATATATGATCTCAAAAAAACTATCAATTGACTTATTTCGCAAAAAGATTGACAACAAGACCTTAAGACATTTTTGCTCAGAACCATCTTCTGCTGCTTCTCTTTTCCCAAAAGTTATGCCATTAAAAACATTATTTTCACGACAGATATTTGATTGGAAAAAGACTTTTCATTTTGCCTAATAACATCTTCTGTTTCCTTAATGCAGAAAGACAGAAAACTAATTTCAAAGAAGAAAATTTTATGCACATATTTTTATATACTCTAACTTCTTTTTGTGTATGAAACAATTTCAGTATAAATTAATATATATTGATAAATATTATATCAAAATGTAAACAAGAGACTTTTTCTGTTTTTAAATTTGTATTAAAAATCATATGCTTGTTTAAGAATGTTTCAGCATCTATTATGTTAAATCATAATGTAAGGTTCTATTGCCTACTACTTGCTAAGATTTCTGATAAAATTACTGTACTGTATGTTGACAACATATCTGGTAAAAAATGTCACAATTCTAATTCCCCAACTTATTCATTTGGTAATTTTTCGTTCATATGGTAACTTTCTACATGAAATTCTGACTTTCAAAATTATAGCTCTCGTTACCACACATTTAGTAAAAAAATACAAAACTTAAAAGTGAATTTAACTGAATAAATAGTTGTTATGCCATGCTTTTAAGGTATCCTGATAAAATTACGAAATTTTACCACATTTACCAAATCTTATCAATTATTATAAAAACATATTTCATTGTTTATTTTACAAAAATCTTTGCCAAAGAGCTTCGGTCAAAATTACCAAGGTTTTTTGGTTTTCTCATAGAGCAAGAAACGGTAATTTTTTTCCATATTCTAATAGTTATAACCCTACACTTTTTTTAAGTCTCTGAAGTGAAAATGCTTTACTTCCTAAAGGTTCTAAAATAAATAATTTTTAATAATCTTCAATGAAGCATGCAAATAGGGATTACAATAAGAAGGTCTAAATGTTAATTCTTGATATGAATAAAAATTGTCAATATAAAGGTGCTGAAAAAATATAGCTTTAGATATTAGAAAAAATCTCTCACATGATATTTTTGACTTTAAAGAGTAAACAAACCAGTCATTTTTCCCATCCACACAAAAAAAATCTTTTTTATGTGCAAACAAAATATTTTTTCTAAACTCAAAAGTAACCTCTCATAATCAACACATAGATGGAGCACTTTTCACACTGACGCAATTTTCAATAGTTCAGAAAGACATGCATTTAGTGCTTCTTAGCATATTTGATGTTATTGCCAGTCTGCAATTAAATAACATCTAATGTTAATTCTTACGTACTGTATTTAATTGTGTAAAGTATATACAATCAAGTCTATGAGCTTATAATGAGAGTCTTTTGCTCACAATGCCATTTTCTCTCATTTTAGCAAAAATTTTATTTTATGCTTACTTAAGTTTTCGAAATGTGTATAATAAAAAAAACATCCATTTTACAAAATTTTTCGTTTGGATTGGCAACTAACTTCACACCACTTCTTGAAAGTTTATTTTTCAATAAAGTTAATAACTAATCAAACAATAATGTTTTTGTCCTTGATGTTTACAATTTTACCTAAAAGTTTAACAATATTTTAATACCTCGTCCAGCTATGTTAACATAACTGGGTGGTCAGAACGAGGTGCGTATTTGAGGTCAAAGTTTTCTCATTTAAACTTAGTATATGAGGGGTTGATTCAGCTACGGCATTCTCACTATAGCAGCATAAATGTCACGAGCAGCTTCTGCAACTTTAGAACCTAGACACTGAACTTAAAAAGGAGGAAGTGACAAATGTGTTTTTCCTAACTTTCTTTTCATTCCTTTTAAACTTTTCCTTTTCTATCATTCCTTTCCTTTTTACATTCCTTTTAATGATCCTTTATATTCCTTTTTAATGATCTAAAAACTAATCTTAATTAACTTGAATTAAAAAACAGACACTGACAGAACACGACATTTCTTTCAAAAGATTTAAAACATTTTGCTAAAAACATTTAATGATATGCGAAATGATTTAAAAATAAAAACCCTGGGAACTTAGTTGCCAATCAAATGTGTGATTTCTATAAAAATAGTCACGGAATTCCGGTGCAAATTTTATCATTGCATTCGAAAATAGAGTATTAGTTTCGAAAATAGAGTATTAGAATCATTTTTATAAGTGTAAATATGCATTTTCAGCATGGAATACGAATTCCTCTCAGTAAATAAGATTATTATTAAAAATGTAGTAGTTATCACACTATATATATAAAATTATTTTAAATTTCTATGCAGAATCTTAAAATTTCTTCCCTTCTAAGCATCATGCTATCTTAGATGAAACTTTCAGATTTATATCTTGATGAGTTAAGAAGAAGATGAAATTTCATAATTGAATCTAGTACAAAATCCTTTAATTTTGGCATTCAACCAATCTCGAAAATATAATTCTGTTTTATATTTTAGCATGAACTCAGAAAAAAAAGTGAAATTTTAAATTATGCCATTAAAAACATGGAATCTCTTCTTCTCATTCTTACATTTAAAAAATTTCATAAAGTAGTTAAAAATTTAATTAGTTTAAAGCTAATTTTTTTTCTTCAAAAAAATAGATGTTCAATAAATAAGTATATTTTAAATCTTGAGTATTAATACTGATTTAGAATATTATAACAAGTTTTCGTAAGTACATCACTGATATATAAAAATGAATTTGAATAATGGTCGTATTGGATTATATATGAAGTTTACGTTAGCGACTATGAATGAAATCACCTTACATAGTACAGTTTTTAATCATTTAGAGAAATATGGTAGGATTTGTAATGAAAATGTGAGAAATGCCAAGTTTTTATTTTTCGTTACTCTTATTCCCATATGCAAATTTTTTTTTTAATTTCTCATTTAAAAGAATAAGTATTTGTATGAAAAAAAATTCAAACCATATTTCTATTCATTATTAAAAATTATTATATAATGTTATATATAACTGAACATATGAAATGTTAATGATTCCACTGAAAAACCCTGGTGGTTATATATGTTTGATTAAATAAGTAAATAAACTAGAAATAATACGAAGAAAATGTTTCCAAGTTAAGTCAAGGATATTGAAAACAATTTTGTTTATCCTATTTTAGGATTAAAATATTTTAGTTGAAGAAGATAGCAGAAAAGTCAAAACCTGTGAAAAATAAACTTAAGTCAATATCTTTAATTTAAAATACATGCATACATTGCAAGAAGACATAAAAAATGCCTCACTTAATCAGCTTCTTCTCTTCGATTAGGACATGTTTAAAGTGAGCCATTTTTGAGGTAGACTCTTTTTTGTGGTAAAAGAGGACTCCTTTGTCCGTAAGATAATTCGGAGAAGCCTTGATATAGCGCAACTTAAATGAACTGTTCTATTTGTGCAAATCTGGAGCTAACACTCAAATTTCTAAATAAAACTTTTTCATGGGAGCATTTTCTTCGGCGTAGTCTTGTGTACAGTGAGTTGCAGTGTCTTTTAATTTACGTTACATGTCATGTTCATTTATAAAATACGTTTAAATGTACAATTTAAAATTGTCATTTTAATTGTTATATATTAACTGTGTATCTATTATGAAGTAAGGATGACTATTTAAATTGTCTTAAATTACTTTGTTAAATTCAAGACTCTTTACAAAAGAGAAAAAACTTTTACCACTGAAAAGTTGCTTGATATGTAAGGCCCGGATTTTGATGATATTAACATTTTTTTTCCTCCCTTTTTGAAGATTTTTTGTTCTACTAAGGCATATTACTTTAAAATTTTTCGGATAAATTTTGAGATTTTTTTTTATTTTAGAACATTAATTCGGGTAAACTGTTTTCTTATAATTTTAAGGCAACTTTTAAAATCTTTAAAACTACGAATTCATTCGTACAGTTTTCACACATTTTAAATGAAGGAATACTATTTAACATGTCTTGCAAATATTCCTCTTGATAAGCTGAATAAAATTGAGATAGTTTGCGTTTCTGACTGAGATAGTTTGCGGAGATAGTTTGCAGAGAGATATGCTAATCATGTTTTGCCTGATGAATCCAAATTGAGAAAAACACAACATTGACGATTGTTATATTTGAAAAAATTGATTTACTTGATAATATATGTTTTTTTTCGGTTTTAAACTCTATATTTGATGTTTTTGAGGTGAGATTTCGTTCTTTTAAGCGTATTTTCAGGGATTTTTTGAAACCATAAAATCCGGGCTCTTTTAAAGATCTCATTGTCTTGTTATTGTAGATTTTACTGAAAAAAATCATGCTAACCTGATTTTTACATTTCTGTGTTCGTTACTCTTAATAAATGAATGTAAAAGTTATAAATGCTTCATTAATTTTTTGTAAGCTCAATTTTCTATCTTAATTTATCTACCAAGAGAACTGTATACCACTGGAAAAACCTTTTATGGTGAATTCGGTTTTACTTACATCAGCATAGCCAACCTGAATAGAAAAAAAATCCGGAGGATTTTTACGAAATATTATGGATTTCATGAAAACTATTGCGCAATATATTAAATATTATACATAAAGGAAATTTTAGGGAATTTTATTGCCATCAAAATACAAAAATTTTATTACACTTATAACTATAAATAGTCTGCAATATTTTCGTTTATGATAAACATTAAATGATTTTGAAATATTTTTTGTTATGTTAACTGATAATGTCCAATAGTAATAGACATATAATTCATTATTTATTGTTAAACAATTTTTAATTACTTTAAAAAATGGAGTTCTGAATTAAAATAAACTGAAAATTTTAGAACAAAGGAAAAAGAAAGGCTTTAAACTGATTACAACAAATGAGGTTTGATTCATTATATATTAGTAATACTTATTTAAATAATCAAGCAAGCAATAAATTGTGTAATAATGCCATTTTAATAGGATTTTTTTTTTTAGAAAACTTACTCAATTTTAGTAAATTTTCTAAAATGCACGAAAACTGGGAGAATTTTCATTAAACGCATAAACCAGGAAGAACTGGCAAAATCTTATTAGTCATCTGATAAATCTGGTAGAGTAGGCAGCTATGCATCATTATTTTAAAAATTATAAAGAGTGAGTTCAAGAGAACCAAGGGTAAATCATGGAGGGAGCTTCAAAAGCAGTGATGTTTTTTCAAAATATCAAGATGCAAACAAATTACGGCAGAATTACTTCCCTGAAGAATCCGACATTTATTGTATTGGAGAGGAAAAAAAATCGTCTGCATTTGATTTACTCTTGGCTTACCAAAACTCACTTTTTTTCTATTTTTCAAATTTTAAAATATAAATGAAACAGAAAGCTTATGATCTTACGCTTAGCTTCATCCACCGAATTCCTTCTTTATTCGGTAGTATTGGGAGATTTTTTGCGTAATATCAGTGATTTGTTAAAGATATCAGAGATAATTTAATAACTAATTATGAGCTTGATTGGAAACCCGTTTAATTAACTAAGAAAGGAATTATTCTGCAACATAACAGATGGATCAATATAGATGCGAGCATATACTTTATCGATTATCTTAATCTTAACTTTTTCTCAGAATATTTTTAACTCAAGAAAAAGAAAACGCTTCATATAATTTTCCATTGTTCTGAAAAAAGTGGTAGCAATGCAATGATAATTTAAGAGGGATTTTCATGGCTATGCCAACATTTCTCACAGTTTGCTGCTCCTCAACAAATATTTCTCTAGTTTACAAATTAGTTTTGAAAAAGCCGACTTTATAGAGGCTTAGGATTATAGAATTTTAAAATGAGAAAACTTTTAAATGAGAAAAATGTTTACATAAAATATTTAGTTTTTTTTATTAAAAATATTAAAAAAAATTATTAATATTAAAATACTAAATATTAAAAATAATATCAATAAAAAAATTAAAATTATTTAAAAAATAATAAAAAATTAAAATTTGAATAGTTAACATTAAAGGCAGGCTGTTTCGATTAGTTTGAATCTCCCTAAACAGTAAGAAATGAAATAATGACATGATTTCTTGACCACGATATAGCAATATCTGTCATAAATATACCAACCACAAATGCTGAGGTTTGCTACTTACGAGACTTCCTTACTGGTGCCCAAACTCAAAAGAAAAAGAAATGAGTTCAATAAAAAATTATTTTGCCTTTTAAAATTATTAATTTTTAATATGATCTTTGAAACATTTATAGATATTTCCTATTTCAATAGAAGGGTTTTAAGAAGTAATTATCATTACACAAACTGTGTTCAAAATTTCTTAAAAACAGTGTTTCAGATGAAGTCTTAATATTGCGTTGAACAAAGCCTTTTAAGTCATAGGAGTGTAGGTAGAGGGAGAGATAGTTAAACAGATTTCTAAATATAGATATTTAATTTTTCAACTAAATTCATAATTATTGTTTTGGTTATTTCGGAGGAATCTTCAGGGCTGATTCGCCACACACGATGTCATTTACTCTTTGTGATAATATGTTTCTTAAAGTGCAAAATTGCAATTCATTGTCCAATCGGAATCAAAGAACATTATATATATATATATATAACATACNACAGGGTAATTCATAATTCCCTCTGTTTACTACAACCTTATGTTTACTACAACTGGCTTCAGTGGTACATGTTACTGCCATCTACCGGCAACTGCTTAAATTAAAACTTAAATACTTTCGGAATAATTTCATATGTCCTTTTTTGCCATATTCGTCTTCGTTTTTTTACTGTAACGCTTCGAAACCCCGGTAGGAATTGTGAATAACCCTGTATATATATATATATATATATATATGTATGAGTGTGCGTGCGTGCGTGTGTTGTGACAAACTAATAGAGTTGGAGCATATCATCAGAATTTAAATTGTCCGAAAATATCATCAAACTGTGAATTGTTTCTTCCCGAACTTCTGAACTGTTAATAAAAGTTAAGAGTCCCTACCGCGAACAATGACATTTTCGGGATCCTCGCAGTTTCAATTCTGATGATGAGCTCTAACTCCTGTCGAACTTTGTCCCAACATTTATACAGCACTCTGTTGTATATGTTACTGGCAAGGTATGAAACGCCGGCATTGTATAGAATGCCTAGGCATTCTATAGAATGCCAAATGCTATTTAGGCAAAGTATGAAATTAACGTCCTGATGAGGTTATTATGTAAATGATGTGAATGTTACTGTGAATGACTGAAATCGGTGGTTGTTGACTTTCAGCGGGGAATGTTGACAATCACATAGTCGCTTTGATGAATGTCCGAAATATTTATTACGTCCGATTTGATATTAATTTATTCGTGGATATAATTACATTTATTCGATATTTTAATGCTTGCTGACGATAGATTAGAAGAAACATCAGTGTTTGGAGTACCGGGCAAATGTATGCCGGGCAATGGCACTTGACATTAAAAAAAACACAAGTGTAGTATATACGGAGCAAATGTATAACGGGAAGTGGAACTTAACTAGACCTAGTATGACTAGACCTTTGGTAAATGTCTGAAATATATACTAGGTCTAGTGTGACTGCTCGGTATACATTTGCCCGGTATATCCTACACTGTTTTTTTTAAGTTCAAGTGCCATTGTCCGGTATACCCTGCACTGATGTTTTTTTAAGGTTCAGTGCCACTGCTCGGTATACATTTGCCCGGTATACCCTACACTGATATTTTTTTAGGTCAAGTGCCACTGCCCGGTATACCCTACACTGATATTTTTTTAAGGTCAAGTGCCATTGCCCGGTATATATTTGCCCGATACCCAAAACACTGATGTTTCTTCTAATCTATCGCCAATAAGTATTAAAATATCGAATAAATGTAATCTATCGTCAGTAAGTATTAAAATATCGAATAAATG